ACATAGTACCACTACTCGCCACTAGATGTCGTTAAGTGTCACAATACACAATAATAATTGAAATGAAAAAAAGCGTAAGTTTGCTTAGGTCACGCACTTTGCGACTATCCTAGTCTAGAAATATAGTTAATGGCAGAAATTGGCCCTTGGAACAAACTGAAAAAATCATTATGGCCCGAAGGCTTCAAAGTTTGGAGACCCCTGCTCTAGAGCAAAACGACTAACCCATTATTTCATTTCCAGATTCGGGGTAGGAAATTAAAAACAAACCTGCTTGTGAACATAAAATACCATTAAGTTTGATAAAATTATTTACTGATGATATCACAAGATCATTTATATAAAATGAATACATCATTAAAACGTGTGATCTTTCCTGAACAATTAGAAGTTGCTCAGATAACATTCATCTATAAGAAAGGAGAAAGGATTTTGAAAATTTTTGACCTATAAGCGTTTTCACCATTTTTTGCTAATTTTTAGATAGAGACATAAAATAAATGAAAAAAAACTCAACCTGCTAAGTTTCTCTCAACATGGGTACATGAAAGAACGACAGTACAAATTGGAAAAATACAGTTCTCTGAGAGAATTATTCAATAATTTGAAAATAAGGAAAAATATGCTATTTATCTGGACCTATCTGAAGTCTATGATTGCTTAAATCACAAATACTTATCAACAACAGTAGTACAATAAAATTGAAGATAATAATTGGAAGAGATCTGAGTCATACCTATCAAAACTTCATAAAAAAAACTAAAATCATGAAGAAACATTCAAATCAGACAAGTGAAAATACAGTGGGTAGGCATCCCACAGAGAAGTGTAAGATGAATATTTTAGAAATCCTTACTATTTATATCAAATTTTGTCAAGTCACTAATTATACTGATGATACAAATTTATTAGTACCACGTTACTACTATCCATATGTAAATGAAAACTTAAGGTGATATGATTGTTACAAAATTCGAGAAAAAAAGTCCTGGGATTACCAGAGCACCAAACTGAAATGACCCAAACTGTTCACCTTGATAATAACCTCTCAATTTTAATTTCTGAAATATTTGGTGTGCCTCAAGGTTCTGTTCTTGTTCCCCTCATATTTCAATTTACATCAGCGACTTTCATGAATTTGTCTACCACAGTAAAATACATCACTACACTGAAGAGACACAATTATATTGTTCATTCAATTGCAAAGACCTTTCACAAGTTATTGATAATATTAATAGAAATAGTATGGCATATATTGTTCTCATACTTAAATATCAACCCAAAAAATCTCCGGTCATGTTATTTGGTCCCATTTAATTCTTCCTTCAATATTTTTAGACAACTTTACACCATGAGGTGAGTGATCATTGGGTCCGAGGATCATGCGCCTCAAGCAGACGCAATGAGCCAAGAATGGCAGCCTTGTCAATTTCCTGGCCAAAATTTCTGGTTTTTTCACTCGTCAACTTAACCTTAGAGAGGTTGTTCACCGTATTTAGAATAATTTGTTGTACAATCTATACTCGAACCGGTCTGACGGTTTACAATATATTTTTGCCACTCGCGCCAGCGAAACGTCAGGAAGAAATTCCAAAAACCGACGGCCTTCAAACCCGAGAAATAGTGACACTTTCTTTCTAATCTTCAATGAATATTTTTCATGAATTAATAATTATATTGAATTAATAAAGAACTCGGGGTTTATATATAATTTTATGTCGTAATACACAACCACTTGTATTCACATCATATTTTGAATTTGCAGTTAGTTTCTGCAAATTCTGAAATCAAAAACAACTCACCACTTTTTTTGTTGTTTCGCCATTCACCCACATATTTGTCACCTGCATCACTGAATATCGCATGTTTCAGTCCGTTTCTCTGGGCAAGAAGTTCCAACTTTTGTGAATGAGTAAGATCTGTTTTTCCCTTTTTGTAAAAAGGCATTGATGTATGTGTCAATGGAATTAGTTTAAACTTCAGAAACGTCACTAGCGTTTCGTTTGTCATGTTTGTCTGAAATATTTGAACGTGAAGGGTTGCTGTTTCAACCGCGGGTTTTTACAAACATTCGCCTGAAATTGTGATGTGCCAATTTGAAATAAATGTTTATCAAAAAGAAGCTTTTATTTACATGCTACAGAAAAAAACTTCAAATTTAATTAAAACCATTAATTCGTAAAGCGGATTTCCATCGAACGAACTCGCTTGCGATTAGTTTCGTTTTCAAAAACACAAACAAAAAACTTGTTTTAGTTTCGAAAACAAACAAACAAACATTTTTCTGAGCTGCATGTTTTGTTGTGAACTGTTTTCTGTTGTTTCCACTATAGTACAACCACTAAATTCTCATAAATATGACTGCATTAAAACGAAAATATTGTTGGTCTTGGTCAAGGTTGTGATTCTATACGGTGTGTCTCACTTTTCATGGAATCACCCCCGTAACAACGTAATTATCGAGGTAGAATGATGAAACTCGCAGGATTAATGGAAATGCTAAAAATACACTTACTGACTATGTGGTGTTGGGTAAGTGATATACACTGCCCGCCAGTCGCGACGGAAGAACTCATTTTTACGGTACGGTAATCATAACCCCAATATTACTAGAGGTATACCTTTTTCCTGGAAAAATGCAAATAATTATCGAGGATGAAAATTCACTTACCGGCTCAATAGTGTTGACCCAAGTGCTATACACCGACCGCTAGCCGCAATAGAACTGCCGACTACTGTGGAGGTTCCGGGGCTACTGCCCCTCCAAGGGACACGGGCTCCACAATAAAGATAAAAAATATTAGAATTTTGACGAGTCAACAACTTTTACGTTTTTTCTCCCAAACGTTTTTTTTTTATTTTTACTGAGAATACTTGCATAAACAATAATAGTAATTATCAATATATCAGGAAGCCCTGATTGCCAGTTTCCATTCACTATCAATTTTTGATTTGATCCAGCATTTCAGTGACACTACTTATTTTTGATTTGTAATTTGTACCAATGAGCTGAAGAGAAATAAAACAAGTAAAAAAATCCGAAAAACAGTTGACCCTGCAGGTCATCCTTACAACTTCTCGCTTCTTCGAGCTCAAAATTTTAAAAATTACTTGAAGAAACCGTTTGAATGGACATTTTCAAACAACACTATCTATCGAATGCGTCAATTTTTGCCCGCTTCCCCTTTTTTGAAAATTTTTAATTTCCTTAGCGGGAAATCAAAAATTCAACTTTTATAAAAAAAAATCAAGGGGTCCATAGCAAATCAATTAGGGGCCTCCACTCCTTCGTTTCCTCCAGACTTCCANGGGAAGTACGTCCAAAATGACATATCGTTTTATTAATCATCAATAACTTTAATATTATTCATAATAGGAACATATTTTTTTCTTACAACTTTGCTTATATTAATTGGTTAACAGGAATCATATAGATTTTGTCAGAAAAATCAACACTTACAAAAATATTTAGTATTAAATGAAGATCAAGAAAAATCCGTTTTGTCCATACCGTATGGACAAAACGACACGAGTCGTATGGACTAAATGACATACACAGCCATCAACATAACAAAAATGAGTAGTTCACGTTCCTCATGCTGACCGTGGCTCATGCTTTTACACAAAAGGTTTGGTGACTGAATAATAATCAATTTTTGAAAATGTGTATATGTAGGTACTGTATATTTCTTTATTCATTTCAAATGTCATTTTTTTTCTCGAGGGTTGAGTTTAAAAACAACTTTGCTGACATACATGCATGTTCTTACTTCAGGTGAATAAAGAAATTTTATTATTATTATTATAAAATGAAAATAGTCGAAATTCAGAGCGTTCTATCTATTAGAACAACCCGCATCAAAATCCGTTGCATAGTTTTAAAGATCTGAGCATACATAGGGATAGATAGACTCTTTGTTTTACTATGTAATGATAAAGAACTGAGATTTCCATATGATAGGTGCTACAATTTTATGAAGTGTTTATTCTTCTATTGGTACATGAATGATTTTATTTTCAAAAACTTGATTTATTTGTACTGGATGATTCGGTAATAGTAATAATGTCTTTCTCGGGTGGTAGACATTCGTCAAGTTCTTGATTGAGAGCCTTGTCTTCCTGGATCCTGCATATTTCATCCATATTTACCAAATGATTCTGAAAATATATGACAGATTCATATAATATCAAGAATTGTATTCATTTGCAAATGATAAATTATATGACTTTTTTATGGTGGATCGCGAAACTCACATTATGCAAATGACATTATAAAACAAAAAGTAATAATTCAATTTGATGGTGATTTGCTGAAAAAATTATTACTTCCCTTTTTTTGAAAAAAAACACCCAAGAAATTCTATGAATGTTACATTATATTACATGATGGAATTTCCTGATACTTCATGAAAATCCATGATAAATGCATTTACTTTCAATAAAATTCATCCTATAGTTGCCAATATAGCACATTTTTTATAATATGGAAAACTTTGAAAAAATCAAACTGAAGTTTGATTTTGTTATATTACCAAATGAAGGATTTAAATGATATCGAAGATATCCAGCTATCTCTAGAAATCGAATCCTGTTCAGTAGTGAAACTACAATAAATGAAGATTTCTCAACCTTTCACTATCTTTTTCACAGTTGAAAAGGTCCATAGTAGACAAAACCTAACAGGCTAACACTTGGTAAGGCAGAAAGCTTATTATTTTCACATCACAACCTACCAAAACTACAGTATCATTATTAACGAATTCATTTTGCATTTGTTTTGTTTTTTCATTTATTTTCAATTTATAGCCAAAGAATAATTATACTTTGAACTTATGCGTTGTTCTACAACACAGATGTATTTTGGTTTTTGTCTCCTCATAAGTGTATCGGCTTTTGATATCGGCCGATGCCGATAATCAACAATATGGCCTTATGATGTACTGTTTGGAACCTTTGGTGTAGTAATGAATATTACTGGAGTTTTTTCCCAACACCAAATCGTTATTTTTACACCTCGACACCTGTTTCGATCATCTTCAAGAGGAAGATGTTTTATCTTCCTCTTGGAGATGATCACTTAGTGATCGAAACACGTGTCGAGGTGTAAAAACAACGATTTGGTGTTGGGAAAAAACTCCAGTAATATTCAACAATATGGCCGATATAAAAATCGCTATCGGTCGATCCCTAAGAAATACTTTTTTTACACGACAGAACCTTAAAACTCATAGGATTTTTCCTGATTATACCAACTTGGAAGATGAAATGAGGATCGAGAAAATTGTTCAAGAATGTTCATAGAAAGAGTACTGATTTATATGGTTTTACTCACAGGAGGAATGGGAAATATGGTTGGCTTGATAGCAGTTTGCCTGAAGGGAAGCATTGATATTGTGCTAAAAACGCACACATTTCTTCTCCATATTCCTTGCTGTAGTTGACCAACTGTTAAGAAATACATGATGCCTTTGCCATGTTTCATATCGTTTTCCCAAGATCCGTCATATTTATTTCCATTCTCGTATACTAGAAGCCCTGGAAAAAATCCGATATCATGTTAAAAATGTTACACTGATACACACACACACACACACACACACATCCCGTTCTCCTTACTTCTCAGGTAGTGACACGCTGCAAGGGTTTTGACCGCCGGGGCCACAATCTGCCTATCCCCAAGCACAGGTAGACCGACAGTTGACTGACAGTCGATACATGTTCAGGTGGATATTCAAAGTGCAAGATTTCTATATGAAGGCATCTGATTATACATGCATGCTTTTTGCCTTTGATTTGGATAAATCATCGTTTGAGCTTATGCTCTTGCATAGCTGCGCAGAGAGAATTCTTCTCCTGATGCAGATTCTGCTTCTGCTGCTCTAGAATTTGGATCAAGGCAGATTCATAAGCACCGATTCACCAAAAACGGTCGTCAGGCGGAGAAGAGGTGCGGACGTTTGTCTCTGTTGCGCCTCTTCGATATAAACAAATAATCCAATGCACAAAGAAGCAACATGGCGTCACCGTAGGATACAGCTATCGGTGGGATGCTATTCGGTTAGGGAATAATAGCACCACGAGTGATGGATTTGGCCGATACTTGATGAAAAATCCATTAATTATTCAAGCAACACTTCATTGTGAGATTTTCACTGGACAGTTTACGAAACCGTAACATATTCCGCTTGAGGAAGCGAAACACGCGTTGCGGTTTTATAAACTGTCCAGTGAAAAATTTCGCAATAAAGTGTTACTTGAACTCGAGTGAGTGTTGTTCCCATATCCCATATCTATAAACGAAGTAACACTTTTGTTGAGCTTACCTAATCCATGTCTGAGACCCTTGCTCCATTGACCCTCAAAGTAGGAGCCATCTGTATACCACATTTGTCCATAACCGTCTCTCAAGCCATCTTTCCAGTTTCCGATGAAAAATCCTCCGTTCACAAAAATCCTGACACCAGTCGCATCTCGTTTGCCATATTTCCAAAATCCTCGATATTTAATCTCGTAAACATTTAAATTGGGGATCTTCTGAGCCGCAACACCATATCCGTGTGGTAAGTCATTTTTGAAATCGCCCTCATATATCTCTTCATAGTTTTTTGTATATAATACTCCTTTTCCTTTAAAGAATATCTTATTTGAATGTGTAAAAAGTAAAAAGATGGTCAGAACTCCTGATAATTTTAATGACGATGTTTTTCCGGGACTCCAAGAAACTGGCCAGTCCTGAGGAAAAGTTATGCTAAAAAGCTACAGCTGTAGCGTAAATGATAACCATGTTGTATCTACAAATCCTATAGGTATAATTCAAATAATGACTTCTTGTGGGTTTACAAAATGAAAATCTCACATTCAGGCAAGGTTGAGTTGAATTTTCAACTTTAAATGAAAAAAAATGAAAAATCTGAAACAAAAGTTCATAGTTTCTTGATAATTTTAAAAACTTTGCGTGACCCTAAACTTCCATACAACTACAAAAAATCGGATATTTGGATACTATTGATGCAAGAAACCCAATTTTTATTTACATCGTCATGGTTTGGACTAGCCAGTATAATATTTTGAAATATACTGTATGTTGCTGTGGGGAAGGGCCGCAGGATTTCAATAGTCAACTTCTGTAAAATGCAATGCTTGCAAGACAAAATCAGCGAAACAGTCGGTACATAAGCATGATATTTGCTTTCGTATAAAATATTAAGAAAATTCTAGTAAACAACTATTTTTGGGAAAGTATTCTGCAAAATTGGATCTCACATAAGCATCAGTACTGGTGAACTTTTAATGTACGTGGAAATAGATGCAGAAAGATAAGAAATATGCCGTTCTAACCAACCCCAGATCTAGGAGGGGGCAAGTCGGGCCTGTGCCCCAGGAGGCAAATTCAGATGGCGGCCAAATTCATACTTCACAGACGAATGGACAACTCATCATTTACCTAAATTTGACCTACACTAGGCACGAACATTATTATTCGCGAGGCGCGTAGTTCATAGATAGAAAAAGTTGAGCAAACTTCTCATGCTTCAGAAGCCAAGTACGAGGCAGGTCATCTCTTAACTGCTATAATGAATTTTAAATTTGTTCTTAATTTACCTATTTGGGAGAATATTCTCCTCGAAATCAATCGAGTGAATATAGAAATTCAGAAAGATATTCCTCTTGCCCGAACAAAAGAGGCTGGAGAAGTTGCTAAAAAAACTTATTATGAGTATATTTTGCAAAACGAACGAAATCTGAAACGTTAAAAAACATTTCAATGAAATGTGTGAAGACGAATTACAAATACTACAACCGGTTCAACTATTTTCTGAAGAAATAATGATGGTATTTGAGCGAATAATATCAGCAATTTCAAATCGGTTTGATTGTACTACCATGCTAAATTTTGCATTTCTCAATGGTACTAATATTTTGAAAATGTTAATTGAAGCACTGCAAAAGTATGGATTTGAATCTAAAATACGAGCGAGATTCATGCACCGTTGAATTCTGCCAGGAACCCTACATTTTTGAAGAGCAAGCTCCTATTTTATTTGGTAATAGCATAGTATAAAGATCATTTTTATACTATGGTGATATAGAAAAGGCTAACGGTTTCTATCTCTTGCAACAGATCCATGCACATGACTCGCAGAATGCTTTTCCTAATATTTGTATTGCCCTGTGAATTTACTCTACGCTTCTTGCTACATCCGCAAGCTGTAAGCGAAGTTTTAGCATACAGAAACTAATTGAAAGTTATTTGCGATCTTCTATAAGCCAAGAATGCTTATTGCTGAACAATAGGAAAATTGTAACTTCAGTTCACAATATGCAAATTTATGTCCAAATGTCAATCAATTAGTGGACATTTGATAGATGAAATCATAAAGATGATAGATGATAAAGGCAAAAATGAATACAAGTGGGCTTGGGCGGGGTTTTTCTGTTTTTTGCCTCGCCTAAAAAAAATTGAAGATTCGGGGCTGGTTGTAACCTAGTCAAATTCTACATTTGCTATTTCCATAGTGATGCTAGGTTTTACTATTCGTATTAGTCTGTATTGAATTATATCCGGCAGACAGTTATGGAAGATACCTAACAGATGATAGTCATGTAGATGCTCTTCGTTCATCCAGCAGCAGTCCAATTTCAAACGAAGAAACGATGTATGGTTGTACCACCCCAAAGGAAAACGGAATTTTTCCAAAACTGCAAAGAAGATGAAAAGATTTTGCATCATTTTTGCGAAGCCGACCCTGGCACTAGAAGGAGAACGTATTAGTTTTCGTATTTTAAAAATACATTGGAAGCGATGATGAATCTTAAGGGAGCTGATAATGAACGCCTCGAAGAATATTGGTAAATCCTTCCATTGCTGTATTAATTACAGCGGAGTTGTCGAGAGTAACATATCAGGATTTTTTCACCAGTCAATATTCAAACTATTTGAAAATGAATGAAATGAAATAGGAAATATTTTTGGATGTTTTTTTAACGGTGTCGAACTAATATAATGTATAAATACTAATTTCAATTTGCCTCTTTTTCATGTATCACCTTCTACATATCGGACAAAACTCACCATTTTTTTTATTTTTTCGCCATTCGCCTATATATTTGTCGCCTGCAGTATTGAATATCGCGTGTCTCAATCCGTCTTTCTGAACAAGAACTTCCAATTTCTTTGTACGACTAAGGCCTGTTCGGCCCTTTCTATAAAAAGGCATTGATGCATGTACCAATAGAATCAATGTATAAACTTTTTATAATTTGCTTATTAAATCAATGATGAAACGTCATTTGGGTCTCGCATGGCATTTATGTCATTTCATTCATTTCTAAAGTACATTTCATGGAGAAAGATTACTGTTGTACCTCATATACAACTATTGTTATCAAATACTTGATCAGGTGAATTTGAAGCCTAAGATGATGTTTTTCATTTGAATATTATATATAATAATAATAAAAATTAATTATCACCTAGAAAATAGACAAATTATGTATCTTATAACATAGATTTGGTTATATTTTATTATAAAATATAACATTTCTAGCTGACTGAAATCTGTAAAAAACAGATTCGTATGTCTCTTTATATTATCTTCAAATGATATTCATTGTCTTTCTGATGTTCCCATTAAACTTTGTCGAGAAAAATAATTATACAAAAAAAACAATGAAGAGTTTGATAGGTATTCTTTTTCCACTGATCACTTTTGAGTAACTGGTCCATCAGTTTCCATTTGTTTTTTCTAAGACTAATTGGTGAATAATTAGTTGAAAATTTTTGTTCCAACGGCACATTAATTGATGGTCTACAAAATTGACAAATCGATTTGGTTTTATTTTGTGTAACTTGATACATGACGTCTTGCCTCACTGAAGCTGAGAATATTGTGGATAGTCGACCCCTTTTACTCGTTCCTATTGAATTTCCGGAAAATGAGGCGCTTACTCCTAACCATTTTCTATTGGTAACATCTAGTTCAGCTTGTCCTTCCAAAAATTTTCCAGAACGTTTCTTGGTATTTGAAAGAAACTGGAAAATATCTCAATTTTTAAGGTTATTTCTTTTGGACAAGGTGGATCATGGAATATTTGCCAAACCTAACAAGACGAACAAAATGGTTGGCACCGGAGCCAAGAGGAGTTCGAGTCGGAGATATTGTCCTCATTGTAGATAGTAATCTACCTCGTAACCAGTGGCCGAAGAGAATAGTTCTCTCTGTTAATCCCGGGTAAGGGTATGTCAAGGCAGCTGATATGAAAACCCAGTTTGGGACATACGCAGACCAATTGTCAACTATGTGATTCAGATATTGTTTGATTTTATTCAAGGGGAGACAATGTTATGAATAGTTATTTTGCTGTGTTCATCGTTAGGGCTATGATAGTTTTTGTTCTGGCCTATAATTTCAATGTTACTTGGTAAGATAAAAATTCATAAAAATGTTTTTTTGATAAAGTCGTATGCAAAAATCTATTTGGAAAAACTAATAACTTGGAGTATTGGCTCAATAATACTAATAAAAAACTTCGAAACACTGGTTTCAACAAAAGAATTTCTTCTACTTACATTTTTTTTTGTTATGTTCTGTGTTATATTTGATATGTTCTGTGTTTCGATTAAATTATTATTGCTGGGGTTAAGATTATTATGGAATTCTGGTTTTTGTCTTTCTTTTCATAAGTATCTGCCTTCAATTATATTTTACAAAAAAATTTACTCACGATAACTTTGTTTTGTACTAAATTCGTTAAAATATGTTTTTGATCAGGTAGGTACTCATGCGGAGCAAGATACAAAAAAATGAATTACCAACCACTGAGCACTTTTATTGTGACGTTTATAGCTAAAATTTTTATTGTCATATATCGGATAAGCTCAAAATAATTTGAATATACCGCTAAAAAATTACATTAAATGCCTCCATCACATTGCATGCATCCTCAAATGAAGTTCTTACTGGTATTTGTAAAAATGTTCGTGAAACACTGTTCAATGACGTAAGAAGCACACAGAAACTAGGCTGCGCCACCGTATAGAGATAAACAGTTTACTTATATACTGTGGCTTCACGCATAATTATATCTCAGGGCTAGAATGCGCTTTCAATATAGTGGATGAACAAATCGTGTAATCGCTGTATTATTGTAATACAATAGATAATAGCTTACACGATTGAAAGAACAACACAATTATTTAAAATATTGCAAAATGGAACCCTTTCAACATGAATGGACTCATTTCGAAATATGGCACCATAGGACTGTTTACAACTGAAGTTTTATTTTCTCACGACATACATTCCGACTTCTTCTCACTTCCTCTCATTCAGCTAATAATGACTAACAAGTTTGATTAGCTCTCAATGTTCACTCGTTTACCAATGGTACATAAGGTGTGTTCGTTAAACACAAATCTGTGTACTCGTTTGATAATAAGAATCTATTATTTCAGTCACGTCTGCTTTGTACGGTATTTATAAAAGCGAGAAAAAAGTTATCAGTTGGCTCCGAGATCATCTTTGCAAAATACTTTCTTCAGAAAAAGTAATTTGTTCATTGTTATTGACATAATGATGCCTGCTTCAACATCAGTTATTCTGGTCTACTGTGCCTTAGAGGGAGTGAAGAACAAAAAATAAAGAAGAATAGAAGAAAATAGAAGAAAAATATTTGTATTTTATGAATACAATCATAAAATACATGTATTCGAAGTTTTGTGATAACCAATAATACTACGAAATGTCGACTCGTTTCCAAATAGAATCGTGCGTTCGTTGAATAAATTTCGCTCCGTTGACTCTGTGATCACGTGGTTCAAATCTATATTTGCTAGCTAGGCTTCAGATTTTTAAACCGGACACACCTATAGTATATGCACTCGTCACCTGACATGGGTTTAACTAATGGAAAACCCTAATGATTACGAGTTCCCTGTTAGGAAGGCTATTTAATAACTTCAGCCTTCTTGGTTCCATGTGAACCACAGAACTATATGTGAACCCTCAATATCAAAGTACCGCCAGATGAAGAGTGTCTATTATGTAGGTCTGTGTCATACGTCATTTTGTACTTGTCAACAGTCATCACGTCAAATCGATAACGAATGCGAATAAGCATAATAAGCAATAATCGACGGATTTCATTTTAAAATAAAATAGGGTAAAGCATTATTGTAATTCGATGGACACTAATAAAGTGATGAAAAGAAAAAGTCCTTCAAAAAGTGCTGTCTTTGAACTCAGCGATAACGATGTGTCACCAGACCATTCCGACAGTGATTGTGATCAACCAAAATCCAAACTCATTAAAACTCAAACGGACTTTGTTGATTCGGTAGTACTCGCATTCACTAAACTCGAAAATGAAAATAATTTAGAAACTAAACTCGACAAACAAACTGACGAACCTGTTCCAAAATCAATTGAAAGTGATGATGTTTTGCCAACAATTTCTGAAGTTTTACAAAATAAAGAATTGGAAGAAGGAGAAGTTGATGAAAATTCAGGCTCACCTAGACCTCCACTACCTGCAACAAACAATCTCGATTCGGAAAATTGCCTGACTATAACTTTCAGCAATGAAAACATGTCAGATTTTTACAAATTAAAATTTCTGAAATTCCTTGAAACCTTTATAGAGTTGGAAGTTACGAGTGAAGACAAATTGTCTCTCAAAGTTAAAAGAGATCCTCTATTATTGCCCACTGAATGGGTTGTGGTTGATGAAGTTATGGATACAAATATTGCCAAGATGAAAGATGTTGAAGAAAAATTATGTTCTCCATTGCCGCCAACCCCTCTAAAATCTAAGAAGAGAAAAAAGCCAAAAAAAGAAAAAAATCTCTTTGTTGTTGATACACAACCACAGAGTGGAACTAATGATAATTCTTGTGCTAAATATTCCAGTAAATTCAACATTGAAATCAACGAGATTGTAGAAGAAGATACTGTTAAAGCCTCAGCCCAAACCTGTTTTAACTGCGATGAAAACCATGCTCTCAAAGACTGTCCAGAACAGAAAAATTATTTCAAAATAAATCTTAGAAGACAACAATTCAAGGCTCAAAAACTTGTATCGTAAGTATTATCATGAAGACCTTAATTCTAAAAATATTTATCATATGAAAATATATTTCAGTTGAAACTCTGTACGAGTAATTTTTCAGTTATCAGGCTTATGCTTAGTTTCAAATTTGTTGGTGTAACACACATATTTTTGTATAAATTAAAAATTTGTCAGTTGCATCAAAATTTTTTGAATCAGATTTGGTCAGAACTGTGAATTACTTTTCCCAACTCGAAAATCTGTCTTCAATTCGACTTAGTAGAAATTTTCCAGCTATTGCAAAAATACAAATGAAGTACATTACACAACATGCATGCAACAACTACAAATATTGCATATCTAAATCAATCATAAATCATCGATGCAGGTCGAAAATTTCAGTGAATAGTGTACATCTCATACATAGATACTTAGGTGTGACTTCCATAACATTCACAATGAAAAAGAATTTTCATTTCTAGAAGTGATGGCGAAGAGGACTGACAACAAATGGGAAATATGTAGAGAAAATTAACTCACCTTGGGAAGCACCCTAAGTTCATTGCAAGAACATATATATTTTCAACTGCATACAGTTCACTCGCGATAGTTCGATACGCTCGGTAGTCTGACGTTGCGCTGTATGAGTCATCGATCAGGTCTAGTCGGTCATACCTTAACCTGTAAAATCAATTCATATTGTGTTATGATTTTAATATTGAATGAATTTCTCTTTTTTTGTTAAAACTAAAGCCTGACTTCATTACATATTTTGAATCTTTTTTAGTCAAATATTTCATAAAAATTCATCGGTAACTAGATTTCGAAACTTATACACTATAAATTCAATTGAATAGAGCCAATCTTTGTTAATCCAACATTTTAGATAATCCTACACCCCCGCGGTTCCGTAGTGTCGGACTATCGCGAGTCAACTGTATTACACTATTTTCCAAATGTTAGGTTCACTAAAATTTATTTGTTGGTTGATAAATATCGGTTGAAACTGCCTAACTTACAAGATTTTATTGTGATTTTATGCAAGTTCTGATAACGAAATACTACTCAGGATCGTAAAATAAATATCTCAAATTTGGTTGTTATTTTCACTTGCTTTAGGAGGGCTACCAGGCATAGGTGTTAGCAATATTGTATTTCCAATGCTTCTAATTTGTATCAGATTTTCCACAAGTGAGGTGTTCTTACACTGCATCTGATTTTTGATGATTTTCAGATGGATAAGACGCCTGTTCACATTGAGCAAGTTTCAGTTTCCTGGCTGATTGTTTCGACCTGAATAGAAAGGCCTAACGGAAATGTTCAATAAGCTTCCTCCTATCATTTGGATATGGTGAGGAAGCAGGATTCAAAATGCACTTACCAATTTTAATCATTTTCAGGCGGTACCATTTAGAGGATGAACAGAAATTTAGTCATTTGGTTCCGGGCAAGATTTCTGATGGTCTGAGAGAGGCACTTGGTTTGAGAAAAAATCAGTTACCTCCGTATATTTATCAAATGAGATTATTGGGTTATCCTCCAGGATGGTTGGAAGAAGCAAAATTTATACATTCAAATTTGAAGATGTTTGACTCTGAAGGAAAACATGTGAAAGAAGGTAGTTCTGGGAGAAGTCAAGGATTAAATTCTGATAAAATAGTCGATTACCCTGGATTCAATGTACCGATCCCAAAAAATTTGAAAGATGTGAGTATTATGTGAGAATGAAAATATTTTTTCAACCGGTTTTTTTATACATTTTATATAAAGACTAATTTGTTTGTTAATATCATACAGTAATAAGAAAATACCATTGTTGGCTTTCTACTTTAGTTGAATGTATAGTAATAAATTGATGGATGCAACTATTACTATATGGTAGATCATCATGAAAACTGGGAAATAAAATTTCACATGTTTTTTACAACTTGTATTTGTAACCCTTACTGCAGTTTCGTCCTATAATGATATTTTCAAACGAATACAATTTAATTTGAATTTGATTCAATTTGTTTGAAAAAGTTCTTGTGGGACGAAAGGATGGTAACAATAGTTACCCATACAAGTGGTATAAAAACATAGAAAGTTTTATTTCTCATTTTTCAGAATGTATAGTAATATTTTGTACAAGTTTTGTAAAGTTCAGTTCTCTCAGTTAGTTATCTTAGTTGTCTTTAATTCAAGTTTGATGTTAAAGATGTTAAAAAATCGAAGAACAGTAAAAAATCAAAAAGTTTCTGTTTCCATAAGGGAAAACTATACAGATTATCCTTTCTCTTTTTAATCTGTAAACTAATTGATTGTAATGGATATTTTTGGTTTCTTTTTTCATCATTTCATACAAATATTATTTAATGCTGAGACTTAGAGATACTACACTTTCTCGCAGTCATTGCTTACACTACTGAGAATGTCTGCAGCAGTAGCCGAAGAAACATTTGTTTTTTGTCTAAGTCAATATTTTCATTTTGGTTTGCCAGTCACACAAACGAAGATATCAAACATATACTGTCTGTCCAAAATGAGGAGTGCCAACGTAGGAAAATCAGAAACCGTAAGAGATACAAAGTCTATTAAATTGTGAGAAAGCTACCTATTTTAGTGCATATTTGAATAACTTAAAAATTCAGGCAATTTGAAAAAATGGAAATTAATCAATTTCATATGCATTTTCAATCCAAAGTTTAGCAAACGATAAACTATTACTAATTTAATTCTCTTATATGAGTCAATAATAAAATCAGCTGGTATAAATTAGCTTTTTTAGACCACAAATTCACAATATTGTATCCATTACACTGTTCGATTTTCTAATGCTGGCTTTTTTTATTTTGGATACAATGTATATTGTGCAAGATAAAAACGTTCCATCATTCACAGTTCTCAGATTTACGGTAATTATTATAGGAATTCAGACAACACCAAGTGCCACCTTATTCTGAAAAGTACAGCAAAACAGTAATGTTGGAATATTTTGCAAACCAAGTTGTAAATAATAATGACAATGATGATATGGATATAGAAACCTCTGTAGAAATGGATGTAACAGAAGATTTGAATTGCAGACCATCTTTACCTAGTGCTGTGAGTATAAAAAACTATTTTATCCAATTTTAACTGAATTTAAAAATAAATTTCAACTTGATTTTAAAATTTTTGGATTTGTGTTTTCTGGTTATAACTATTTATGGAAAACTAAATTGGGAAATGCATATAAATATTCTTGTAAAGAAACTTAGTATCATGTGCTTTTAACAGCTGAGGCAAACTGTGTCTCTGGAAATAAAAAGTACTTATAATGGACTAGTGAACTCCCTGTTGAATTACCGTTCACGTTTTGGAAAAATTCACCACAATTACAAAAAGTCTTCTTTATGTATAAAAAACTCATATCTGGTAACAATGGATATAAAAAAAGGAGTGGGAATATACCAAAAAGTTTGGAACACTGTTCCGAACCAGAAAACTGGATACACCTCAGCAACTTTTAATACTTTATAAAGCTCATATCAGAGCTTCTTTGGAGTATTGTTCTCATGTATGGAGTTCCGCCCCTTAGCACACCCTGAAGCTGCTGGATTCCATCCAGAGAAGAGCCATCTGCCTGATTGGAGACCCAAATAGAACAGAATATCCTTTATTCGCCATATAAAATACAATAGTATCATAAGGTTTTATCAAATATCATATACCATAAGAATACCATAAGAATGCCATAAAAACAATAAACGAATTAATAAAAAATAAATAAATACGGAAATGAGATGTGAACAATTTCAATATAAATATCACTATCTACGTATATTGTAAATTCAAAATATTAGTCGGTGTTGAAGTCAAATGATAGGAATTCGTCAATACTATAAAAAGCGTTTTCCAGGCAGATACTCTTCATATAATTTGTAAACGAGGCTGTATTTAAGTTTTATATATCTTCTGGTAGTTTATTAAATAAAATAGGACCATAATAATTTTTCAAAAAACGGCAGTGATTTAGTCTTGTGAATTCAATTTTAATCTGTTGTGATTGTCTGGTGTTATGTGAATGAACATCGTTTTGATTTAGATATAAGTGAGGATATTTTTTACATAATTTATACACAAATAGACATAAAAATAAGGTAATGTAAACATGTTATTATTAATAAATGTTATTTTAACGTCTTCTTGATAACCCAGTTTGAAGATAACTCGCAAAACTTTTCTTTGTAGTCCAAACACTCTTTTTACATGAGGCGAGTGCCCCCAGAGTACTAAACCATAAGACATATGGGACAGAAAAAGTGAATGATAAGCAGCGATAATGGTTTCAATAGATAAGATGCCCATTAAACTTCTTATAATATAAATGCTCGTTGCCAATTTTTTGCAAATGAAATCTACATATTTTTCCCAAGAGAGCTTTGAATCCATTTGGAATCCAAGAAATTTAATCGATTAATTTTGGTCTATAGGTAGTTGTTTGTGTGTGTGTAAAAAAGTGATGCTTCGTTTTATTAGTATTCAATTTTAATTTATTATTTGTCAGCCATCTATTAGCATTCGACTCTGCTACTTTCATTTCTTTAACTATAGCCTCGTAGTTTGTATTTTGGAGTGTTAATGATGTTTCATCAGCAAATTGCATAATCTCAAAGTCATCTTCCCTCTTGAAATCAATCACATTAATCAAGTATAGAATTGCTCCCAAAACCGAACCTTGGTAGACTCCGTTTTTTATTTATTTGGTATCAGATAGTATCAGATAAAAAAAAATGTATTGTCTATGTTCCGATAGATATGATCTAACAAGGTTAATTGAGTTTTCCTCAAATTTGAACTACTCCAATTTTTCAAGCAGGATTTCATGTGACACACAATCAAATACCACCTGAAGATCGCAGAACACTGTTCCTGTGTGGACACATTTCTGAAATCGTATGACGATTTTATCTACTAGCTGCATTACAGCGTCTGTGGTTGATTTTCCGTTCCAGAAATCATATTGGTAATCTGGGATGATGTTATGTACCTCAAGGTATTCTACTAACTGCTATTTCAGAGCAGCTTCAAATATTTTGCCGATAACGGGAAGTATTGAGATGGGTCTCAGTTTACACAATTCTTCGTAATTTTTTTCTTTTGATATATCACTTTAGTAATTTTAAGGCATTCAGGAAAAGTTCCGGATTTTATTGCTTCGTTTATCAACTTTGTTAAGGGTGTGATTATGATATTTTTGATTATTTTTATTAAAAAGATATTTAGCTCATAATAGTCAGCACTGGTTTTATTTTTCATTTTATTTATTATATTTCTAGTTTCGTTAAAAGTTACTTTCCTAAATTTAGAGTTTGGGAAACAGTTAAAATTTCCTGGCAATGGAGAAGTTACATGTGATTGGGTTTGTACTATACTGTGATATATATCGTCTGCTTTGTTGATAAAGAAGTCGTTTATGTCATTTTCGTTTAGATTCATTTCTGGGTGTTTTTTTTGTTTTGCCCCTCTCTTCATTTATTATATCCCAACACGTTTTATTAATATTATTCGAATCCTTTATTTTCCTGTTATTAAACTCTCTTTTTGTAATTTTCAGTTTTTGTTTGTATACTTTTTGATATTCTTTTTTTAGATTTTTTGTAGATATATCATTAGAAATTTGGCATAGTTCTGATACGAGCTGTAATTGATTTTTCATGGTTTGGAGCTCATTTGTGTACCAGTATTTTTTACTGCTTTGTTTGTTATTATTTTTTTGTTTGAGAGGAAAACATCACTTGCAACCTCGATAGTCTGGAACATCGAAGAAAGATTGGAGATTTATCTGCTCTGAGCGCCTTAAGGGTTTTCCTTTAGTGCGTGTGTTTTGTCTTTTAAAAAAATACATGAGTTTATGTTCCACTTTCCTGGCATCTGAATTATGTATTTTTGTAAAATTATTTATTATTTGATTTGATGTATTATACATTGTGGCGAGAACATATAGAACAAATGGAGGATGGATGATTGTGTATTGTAAGCATATATGAATCTTGACCAGTCTGATAAGTCGTGTACTTTTGTATGAAACTTCATTGATAAAAAATAAAGTATGTGTCTACCTATAGATAATTTCAAAAAAAATTGTTACCAAAGTGACAGTTGTTTCCTCAATGAGTTGTTCAACTAGTGAAAAAACCATTTTCAAATGAGCCTGTGTGATTTTTGTGGATGAGAGGTTTATTAATTTCTAGGTACTGGATGTCAAGAAAACTGAAGTTGGAGCACCTTCTCCTTCTCTGACGGATTTAGAGAAAGCAAAACAAAATCTTTTAGCAGAACTGAATGACAATTCAAGTTCGAATCCCAAGTCGGAGGAGAATACAAGTGAAATACCAGACCGCAAACCATCAGACAGTTCTGAGGAAATCAATATTCCAGAAAGTAAAGACCTAGAACCCTCTGAAGAAACTTCAAGAAATGATACTCCCCAAATCGAAAAAGAGTCATCAGAAACTTCTAGCTCAAGTCAAATATCACCTGTCAATATCAGTTTCAATAGTGTTAAGGATAGTTCTTTTGGAACTCCAATTCTCAAAAGCAATTCCTCTTTCTCGCGTTTGCCCAAAGCAGAAAATTTCATGAAAGATGTTAGCCCTGTTATAAATTTTGAAAATTTGCCCAATTCAACAGGTAAGTATGAACAAATGACGAATGTTTTGCAGAAAGTAAGGAATACAATGAAACATTTGCAAAACTGCAAATCATGATATTGTGAAAAATAAAAGTGAACAAGATGTACAAATAACCTTTTGTATAAAAATTTTTATAAATATTACTTTGTTATGAAATCATAGTCACAATTGATGAATCTAATATCAAAATTTTTATCGTTTTTGTCACTGTCAAAATAAATACTACACAAGAAAACTTTTTGAAATCACCCTTATGTTACTTTTTGAATCAATAAATTTATTTTAAGAATCCTGTAAAATTGCTTCATTATTTTTTATGGAGGGGTTTAAATTTGTTTAGAGCTACATCTGAATATTAGTGTGAAAACTTGAAGATAGATATTAATAGCATACCTAACAACATATTCTAAACATACTACAGTTTGCAGATTTTCCAAAAACGTTTTTTAACAATTCAAAAATGATGATTTGGTTGATAAATATGATTGTTGCATCATATACAGTACAAACATAAACAGTCCTCCCGCTCTTAGCTTTTGAATGAGACAAGATATCAAGAAAATTTACCAAATAAGCCATAATCTTTAGTACTTTTCAAGGCAATACATTACTCATCGTCGAGAGGGTGATACCAACTTTTTTTCCAATGGAGAGAGGGGGTCGTGATACCTTGTTTGATAGGTATTTTTATTCTCTATGAGACATAAACTGAAAAAGGTCTGCAGCTGCTTAGGTGATGATGTATGGTGTATTGTTTTTTTTAATTGGTCCATATGTTAATATAGAATTCATTTTAATTTTTGTAAATAATTCATATGTTGCCTTTGGTGGAGAAATGGTGGACTTCAGTTATTGTTATTGAATATATTTATGTTTTTACATTTGTACTTTTCAACTGATCAAATCAAATTGCCGTCGTGACATTAACCACAAGTAGTTGATTTTCAGCAAGCATTTGTCAGATCCCACTGTGTACAATTATTTCCTTAGTATATATGTATCTCTCCTCAACACAATCATCAGACTTGTTTGTTATAGAGAGCAGTTTTCACATTTGTAACAGAAGTATTAGAAAAAAATCTTCTAATGTATCAAAACATTCTACTTACAAAGCTTAATCAAAAATGCTGCTGAAGTATGATAAAAGGCAAACTGAAAAGTTCACCCCATATTTAGCTTTAGTGGTCGACGTTTTGGATGTTTTTCCGTTTTTAAAACCCGAAATTCACTTTCAAACCTTTGCCTCAAATTGTGAAATGTTATATACCCAAAAAACCAGTAAGAAGTATTGAGTCCTCCACAAAAATGTCTGTCAAAGAATAAAGTATTCTAATATTTAATTCTGTCAAGGTGTTTCCTAACAATTCAGTTTTGAAAACTTATTGTAGCCGGTTACTTAACATATGAAAAATCGGCTCTTTTCTCTGAAGATTCTTTGAAAATATAATAAATGCGTCTCCCTATAATATCGACGCGTCTTAAGAAATTTCATTCATGGTTGACTTGTTTATGACTGAAGTAGGTACAATATGAGAAAAATACAGAAAATCACAGTTACTTCAAACTTTGAATATTTCCTTCAGTAGATATGTCAAAGATGTCGTAGGTATAGAAAAAGACATATCTTCATTTCAACATGTATTCTATTGGATAGTTGTCATGTTGGACCTATGTATCAGGTAGACTGTTTCCCAAGATTAATATGGAGTACAGAGTTGATATTCCATGTCTAATACACAGAGGTTTGCAGTGATCCCTGCGCTTACTTCTGAAAATGTACCGAACAGCTCTCTTCTGAGACAGATATTTCAAATTCATCAACTGGTTTGTGCAAAACCCCCAAAAAGCAATATCATACTCGTATCTAGATGAGATTCAATAAGTGGGAAGTTGGCCATTCTAACTGCGTAGCAGCCTGAGGCGTTTTTTATTCAAGTTTCCTATGTGTTTCTCAAAATTTAGCTTTTCATCTGAGTAAATACACAAATATTTTGTACATAATTTGTTGATAACATTATGAGTGCCTAGATTAAAGACCATTATAGATGAATTTAAATGTCAATGTATTGGTTTTGTCAATATTGAAACAAAGCAAATTTGAATCGCACCACTGTTTGACCATTTTCAGATCCTTGGAGATGTATGTTTTTAGAAGTTCAATATTATTTTCATACCGCATTAACGTAGTTTCATTCGCAAACATGGTAAATGATCCTTGAATGTTTAAGTTACTAATATCATTCAGATAAATGGGGAAAGGATTGGCCCAAGTACGGAACCCTGGAGGGACAAAAACATTGAAAATTTTAAGGATCAGAGTATTTATTTAACAATTTGAGTTTTGTTAGAGAAATATGATTTCAGTCATTTGTTTGCTATTCTTATAAACCCATAACAGTTCAGTTTTCGGAGCGGTATTCCATGATCGACGCAATCAAAAGCTTTGGAGAAATCACAGAACACAGCTCCGAAAGCTTCATAATCATTCCATCCTATATAAATATCATTCAGCAAATTGAAAATTGCGTCATTGGTGCTTCTCTTTGATCGGAAGCCAAACTGAGAATTCGACTAAATACTATGTTGATCTAAAAACGTTAGTATTCTTTTCATTACTAATTTTTCTATAAATTTGGAGTGAAGCGAAAATTAGCTGGTTCGTCCAGTTATGCATTGGGATGATGACTGCAGTTTTAGGACACAATGGAAACACGCCTGTTTTGAAAGACTTATTTATTGCTTTTACTAACACCCATAGGTGTTTCATCCATACCACATCCATACGAGAATTTAAATTTCTTGTATTTGTATCGCAAAGGTTACAATGTCTATGGTCAAATTTTAGTTACCATGTAATAGAATTCATGGGATCTTTATTCATTTGAGCAGAGAGTTTTGAATTATTTATTTTGGACCAATTTTCCTTCATTTCGTTTTTGCATTATCTATCCTATTTATTGTGGAATTGGCCGCGGTGGTAGTGTGCCCGACTCACGATCGGAAGGCCGTGGGTTCGATTCCCGCCTCGACCAGATATTTTTCTCAAGAGAATTTATCTGGTTGAAGCTGGAATGATTCTGCAACCGTGTTAGGAATCACACGTTAAAAGGTAAGACCTCGTTAGTCATTAGCTCGCACAAGTTTTACAACTTCTGAGAGTTGTCGTTCGTATGGGGGCGACAGCTGATTAACGGAAAAACAGATTTTAAACAGATATAATACAACTCTTTTGCAGTTCTAATCACTAGCTTAAACATACGATTAATTTTATGTGTCAGGTATAAAAATCTGCAGACCACAAACAACAAATCATCTCCAGTTATGAAATTTCATTCTATATGGTCAGAAGTTAAATCTGGTGGTATATCTCATGTCTATTGGTGAGGAAATTGTGTAATTTTTTCAAATGTCACAATATGTGTTGAGTATCATTTGAAAGTTATAAATTTAATCTCCCCAATAAAAGAAAATGTTCATATCTAATAGTCTAGAGTTCCATTTTCTTGTGGGTTTACCCGTGTTGGGACTATTTATTCAGGCAGTAGTAGAAATAATGATATAACTTATAATGAACATTCAAAATAATATATTCCATGACTGTCTTCAATTACCTCCTATACAAGCAGATTTTTGACTTCAAAAGTATCAATAGCAACTAATTGGACCAAAATTCTAGGAAATTGTGAAATATTCTTGATTATATAGGTTCTTAAATGAGAAGAGAGGGCGATGACATCTCTCCTTACAAAGACGCCAGGGCGATGTGAGGGCGATGACGTCTCTCCTCACGAAGACTCCATCTATGGTAGTCTTTCTCAAAGTGGGCAATAACGACCCCTTGCAAGCGCTGGAGGCCAATAGGGGGGCAGTAAAGGGACAGAGAAGATTAGGGGGCGTTGATGCGATTTAGGGGGGGATCCATGGCTAATTTAAAATTATTTTTTTTACTTTTAACAAAAACTTTACCAATCCTTTACGCTTAACGCGCGTTTCTTCGCGTTACGCCATCTAGGGGACTAGACGATTACTATTTCCTGTCCGATAGTTGTCAAATTGTACAATAGATGGCGGTAAGCTTCAATGCGAAGCGAGAAGTTTCTAGTCTCCATTCTCGGAAGTACTAGGCCCGCCCTATGCCTCACATAAAATCTCGCGCGCCATCCAGCCAGAAATGTCATTCGACGATATTAAGAAAACAAGTGAATTTAGTTAGCGACTAGCTAGGTAAAGTGCTGTACGTGCGGTGGTGAGTACTGTGAGTTGTGTCATTAGCAAGTGTTTAATACTCGATTCTTTACTTCGGCATTTTTGTAGACAAAATTATGTCGGAAGCAAAAAAGAAGGAACGGCAGTATAGTGCGGATTTATTGAAATGTTTGTTTTAATAACATGAAATAAAGTTTTCCTAATATTACAAAATGGTGTTTTACATTAAACTCATCAGAAAGTCTTATTTTCACATGACACACCTAATTTAATTATTGAAATAATGACTGCGATTGTGTTTCTTAAGATATAGTAAAGTAAAAAAAAATTGGGGGGCGCTAGAAAATAATTAATTCTCGAGAAGTTTGAGAACCTCCGATATATGTGATCGACAGAGAACTCAATCCTGGAAGGTCAAAGATAAACGAGGTTCCCCAGTTGAACTAGTTGCCTTGCAGTAAAAGCTGTAGTGGAAGCTCGAGGACGAATCTCGTCGGCGGCCGATGTCGAAGCTTGGGATTGCAACTGACTATTTTGGGGACCTTCCTTTATCTTCAATATTCGAGGATTGAGTACTCTGTTGATCCCATAGATCGTGACTTCATAAGAGGAGATGTCATCTCTCTTACTTATTTGAGTGTTTCCTGTTAGGCAAGTAGGGAAAATGATTCGTAACTCACATTTTCGAACCAATCACCATTGATCACTACCTTAGAGGACAAAGTACATCACATAATAAAATAAAATTATCTTAAAGAACAATCCGTTCAAGCCAGTCTCAACTCCCTACACTGTAGGTTAATGGACTGACACTTATCAGAAAACAACTACTCCCCTGGCTAATACCACGAAGGGCGTTGAATTATATCCGACAGGTGTGAGTGCAGGATTCTTCGCAGAAGTTATTCCTGCATTTGCTGTTGGCGATACAACTGCCGCAATAGATTTTCAATTATTGGAACACACTTACAGACCGGTTTCGGGCTGTTTGGCCACTCGTCAGTGCAAAGTAGTGTATATCATCAACATAAAGTCGATGATTTCTGATAATTGAAAATCAAATTCCTTCAGAGTATCATTTCTCGAACTAAGCTGAAGCATACAACAAACAACAGGTTTATCGTCGCCCCATCTGCCTGTGAACGAGATAACCAACTACATATCCGCATAATTTTCACCTGTCGGATATAATTTAACGCCCTTCGTGGTATTAGCCAGGGGAGTAGTTGTTTTCTGATAGGTGTCAGTCCATTGAGCTACAGTGTAGGGAGTTGAGACTGGCCTGAACGAATTGTTCTTTTAGATGATTTTATTCATAGCCAGTCTTCAAATATGCCCACTGACTATATGTGAACAATAAAATAAGATTGATTAGATACTCAATTAGCTAATTTATAAGGATCTACGTGGAGTAGCTTTGGGTTTGTATACCGGTGGTCGTGAATGAGAACGTATCATATTAATCAAGACGTTTGTTTATCAAGCAGGAAGTAAATGTACAATTGGCAGTAGGAATGTGATGACATTCCCTAAAAAGCAACTCCGCATCTTATGTGTGATTCATTCATGGTGGGATACAGATTTGAAAACCAACCAAAGACGGACGCTGCTAATTTACATACAGAAGAAAACGATTTGAATATTCTACTGTCGAAAATATTTTTGAATACCTCTATTATGAGAGTTGGATAAACCAAACATGTTTCTCCAATATTCGTAGCCAAAACAAATGATAAATCTCATTTTTGAAACCATCGAAACAGTCCTAATTGTTTAAAAAATTCTCCATAGTGCTGTATTAAAATATATTTATTTTCATACAAATTTTATACATTATCAATGTTGAATATATTAATTTTTTATTTACATCTATATTGCAAATATTTTATACAATGGAGAAAAGCGTCGCTAAGTGCAGAAAGGAATGTGTGCATATTGCAAGAACACTGTGCAAGACCTATGGTTGAATGTAACGCATTTATTGCCCATTAATAAAGCTGAATTTGGAAATACTTAAGTTTATAGTAGAAAGCACCCACTTATTTTATTTGGACTTAAATGACAAGAACAAGAGAGACCATCCCCAAAAAAATAAGATTAAATTAACCTCAATTGCAGAGATGTATATTTCATAGATACTAGTTAGTTGCTGGTGGTGGGCTTGGTGGAGCTCCATGGGGATTCTGAAAAGAATAAAATGAAATATTATGAAATACCAGCTGAACCAAACAGCAATATGTCATATTTCACTTGACAAAATAGAAGGCATTTCATGTTTTGGCTACCCTATTGAAGACGAATTTCAGAATTCTAGTACCAGTTCAGAATTTGAGTATACCATAACAAATGTGCTTGATTGAACACTGAATAAATAAGTATTAGGTGATTTGATATTGTATTTGATATTTTATACAAAACAACAAATAGAATGGCCCTTTTTATATGGCGAAATATGGTGTAATTATCACATTTGACAAGCATGATTCCAGTCATAATTGTTAATGCCACTCAAAATAATTAAGAAATTTCACATATTTGAATCATTTCATTGATTAGAGTTTCAATCAAAATATAAAACTTGGCCACCATTTGACTCTTGATCGAATATGGTTGAAATAAACTAAAAATTCCATGTGATATCATCTAATGGAAAAGCAGAGAGTTGAAAGAATTGACACAAATTCAGAGTTGTGAACTATAAAATATTTTACCCAGCCATATGATTCCAGAGTCGTTGATGTCGTTTTTGCAGCCAAAACACCTTTGACATAATAAAAAGTTATTGAGATGGTAGTCAGTCAGTCAGTCAATATTCATAATTATATGAAATATAAAAAACTTCAATAATTTGGCTTTCGTTGAGTTGCTATTACATATCAATTGTCAGACTTTTTTCTAAAATGTTCACGTAGTTCCTTGTTTTATTTTCGTTGTCTCATTGATAAAATTGAAGTTACCAATTAGACATCTGATCGCAAATCAAAGAATACAAGCCAAGCTTCAACAGGGCCATCTGCAGTGATCACTTCCAGGTGTCAAGTTCAACATCAATTTCAATAATTATGATGATTAACACTTAAGCGATATGCGATATATCGTAAACGATATACAATACACAACAAGCACAGATACAGACAGATAGTTCTTTTGAAGGAAGATTATAAAACAGGTTCACCTCCCCACAATTTGGCAACATATTAAGTGACATCTCTCGAAGTGCTGCTTGCCGGTTGCTCTTGCCATTAGTTTCCTACAATATTTCGAACAGTAACAAGATGACAGAAAGAAGAAATAATAATTTTGTGATTTCTTTTATTGATTTGGTTAAAACAAATGAGTGTCTCTAGAATTATCACATTGACACATACAGCAAGACAGATGTTACTAGTGCTACATGGAGGGAAATCGCCTCAGAACTAAAATACACAGGTAAATTCATTCATTATTATGTAATGAGACAAAATGAACAAAATGTATACAAAATGTCTTCAATGTAAATTTTCATCTCAAAGTGCTCATTCCTTTCTAATTCCTATAAGCCTGGTGTCCTATACCGCCATGTGGAGATGAATTGTTTTAATGGAAAATGTTGTTTACCTATTTCTTCTTCCCTACTTAATTTTCCAAAACAAATTGAAGTACTGACTGGCTGGGTCTTTCAAACTGACACATCTTCATTATATAGGGATTGCTTGTGCCTGTGATTGAAATAAAGTAAAATCGTGCCCAACCGTATTTTTATCGTTCAGAACGTACTGATTCATCACCCGCTGCCATCAACCTTCTTAGCAATATATAGTTGCAATGTATTACTCCCGACATTAAAAATATATTTCTGATAGTATTGCTTACATTTTCCCCACTGAATGGTTTGGATGGTCCGTCAACTTCTTGTCGTCTTGGGCGCAAATAGTACAGAAATAAAGCAGCAACAAAGAAAATACTCATGAGCAATATTCCATCGGGATTGGTTTGTTGTGGAGCATCAGGGTCTGAAAATATGATTTTTACAAAAATCTGGCAGAAATTACAATGAATTGACAATTCTTTTAAATTGAAACATTAATTCATCAACGGAGGCTGTCCTTTCTGATCAAAGTTCATATTCTATCAATAAATAGTAATCGACATAGGGGAAAATGATTCCAGGTTCACTCAAATTTCGTTCTCAATCGATGGTATAAATTACTCTGATTTCAAATTTCTGAATTGAACTTGCAAGAAAATATTGTAGGGTGTTAAAAATATTATAGGGTATTAAAAACTTTTTTTGTCTCCATGATCTATTTGGTGAGACATGGTGTCTTGGCATCCAGTTGACAATGGTGCAATAGGCCTGATAAAAATAGCAGGAAGAAAAAACTCAAGTGCCACCATGCCATTTGAAATTTTTCAACAGAACAGTAGAGCATGTAATAGCCCATTTAAAAGGGTTTTCAATTCTCTATCTACCAATATGATTTTTCATTTCTCTCATATTTTTATATTAAAAAACATCATATTTTGAAAAAAAAATACTGAGACTTCAAGATATAACCTTCATTCTCACAGCCAACGCATATACCAAATGAACACTCAATAGTAAAAAAGAATTATTTGTATCTCTTGCATTGGCCCATACAAAACAATTACCATCAGATGGAAACATCAGTTTGATGGTTCACCAGTCATCACCCAACGATGTTTATTATGGTATATGAAAAATGAACTACATTACAATCAATTTTCAAGGTCAAAAAATCAATTGAAACACAGGTATACCTATTGTCAATAATTTGAAAAACCAGATTTGCTAAAAAACAACAACATATTTTAGTATTAATAAATAGCAACCCTGTGGAATTCCGGTATCGGCATCAGAGTATTATTTACCAACTAAGGAAGTTCTTATCAGCAGATAAGTTATCAATAAATACTTATGAATAATTATTTGCAAAAATTAGCATATTTCAATTGATAAAAAATGCTACAAAGTTGTTCATGTTGGAAACTTTTCCTGTATTTCCGTATTTAGGAAATATATGCTTTTTTTGGATATGAAAAAAAATACAACTAAGATTTGTAAAGATATAAAATGAATCTATTGAAAACACTTTCCCAATGCCAGAACAAAAATTATGGTTGCTCGAAGCGTATTTCGCCAACCAAGTTAGCGTTCTCAGGGGATCAGTATGACTAAATTTTACTACGTTAGTGTTTTTATATGCTAGTAGCTTAACTACTATTTGTTATTGATCCTATGCTAAACTACCTGTTTGGCTGTTTGTTATGTATTTTCTCTATGTTATTGATTATCTCTAATATTTAACTGTTTTTTATTTATAATTATTACCTAGAAGACCAAACAAAGGACTGTTTGAAATAGGACCTTTGTCGCTATTCATAGAACTCATGTCGCACTTTTCGATTATAAGATTGCTAATAGAAATTTTGTATGTTAACTTGAAGTTCATCACCCAACCATTATAGGTATGATGTTCATTAAGTATTTAAAATAATATTTCATTTCTTGAAAGCAAATAACTATTTCATACTGTTATATAAACTTCCAATCAAATCAATAAAGAATCTGCTGAAGTGTAATGAAGGCAATCTGAAATACTCACCTTAAAAAGTCACTGCATTATTTAAACCACAAAAAATATCTTTCAAAAGAAAAATAGCAATATTTTTCATATTTTACATGATTTCACATAGAAAAAAAAACTCATTTTTAATGAATTATTACATACTAACGATTAAAAAATGTGTTGTTCTCAGTAAACGACAGTAAGTTTTCTTAAAAAAAAATACGAGCCCCAAGACTTCTTCATTGAATTCCGTTGTTTGGAAATCGTGAATGGGTTCAGGTTTTGTTCAGTATGATAAAACAAAAATAATTGAGATCACACAGGTTTTGTTGTGAAAGTTAAAATTAACGCATCTATAGAAAAGAATCTATAGGTTTGAAGGAATTATGTATTTTTATTCAAGAATCATTGTAAACAGGGAGGAGGTTGATTTTTAGCAAAATCTCTTATTTTGATACCCTCGACAATTTTTGAGGTTATTGGGATTTTTGTAACAATTTTCTCCATCACATAAATGTCAGGTCATAGAATTAATTCATGTCACAAATTTTGATCCTCATTCACGGAGCTGCTGATTATCAGGTCTCACGTTTCATTTTGTCAAGTTCATGTCTGGAAGTCCTAGCTGTTTTCACATTGATGACAATTCTGTATATATTGTCTCTTAAAAATGAATCTTATTTGAATTAATGGAAAGTACTTACCATCTGTAAAACATTCATTGTCAGTGCAATATGACTGTGAATTCCTTATCTGAAAAAAGGGAAATGGTACTATCTAGAATTATGAAAAATTAAAAATATGCATACCACATTCAAAAGACGCCTCATTGCCATTTCAGGGTTCCAAACACATTCGCAAGGATCAAAGCCTCCGCCTTCTTCACTCATTTTGTAGATTTATTTACCTTTAAGGTGTAGCCTAAAGAATAATATTGCCATATTCAATTATATCTCAAGTCATTTCATTACCTTCAGTAAAACCAAAAAAAATATCACAGATAAATTTTTCTAGAACGGCAATAAAAACCAATTATTTCTCTTATCGATGTAATAATTTTTACACCATATTGGACTTGTAAATTGTTTGTTGTTTTCTTCGTAAATGTCAACGTCAAAAGGATTTGCAACAATTTGCATTCGTTTATGAGCATGAGCAGTCAGCGGTCAGCTGACAAGTAAGGAATGTAGGTCTTACTTGGGGGGTTTTGATTGGTTGTGGTTGTCCGGATGAGATTGGTCAAGAAATAAATGACCTTAAATAAAGGTGCGTTTTTTTGGTACGGTTTCCATTCCGGAATAACCATTCCCGTCATTTTTACTTTTTACTTATTTTAGTTGCAAAATTTCATTACATCTCAATTGATTAATTCTTTGGAATAGTGTGATGTTGAATTTGTCGATGTGGTTTGTCAAAATTGTTAACTGTCAATCAAGATGCAGAAACCGTGGTGTATAAACCAATTCGCTATTTTTCTGTCAGAAACTCTAAACAGAAGTAATGACATTGATCCAATACTGAACAGATGTCGATAGATAGTGAAAGATTCGAAATCTTTCCCTCGTGTTTTATTCAGATCTTCAATTTATGGAACATAATGTGATATCACATTATGTGAATAACATTGAAAGTCAAGCACTGTCACTTGAAGTTATCTTGAAGTGTACTCGGCATCCCTGTGAATGTGAGGCTGAAACTCCAGGATGATAGATGGAACAAGAAATGTTTCCAAATGTAAACAGTGGTATGTGAATGAAATGCCGAAGTACGCTGGATATCTCTATTTTATAATCAAAAGCGCCGTAGATCGAGTGTTTTCGTCGAAATGTTTTGTAGAGAAAGCGGTTCAAGTGATTACAGCATGGTATTTCCAAGCATCTTGAGATTTCTTCATTATTTCTTTTCCAAAATTTAACATGGGGAAGGGGTCCAAGTTATCACAGGGACATTCTATGCATCGTGCTATCAATGTTATTCTCAATGTTATTGATTGTAAGCAATTCTGTTTATTCTACCTAATCCAATTGAAGATTTGAAAAGCATTCATTACAGAAATCGAAAATCAATAGTGTTTTCCAAAAGCACTTTTATTTATCACTCACTTATTCTGCTAGTTGCTTATATGAAGTAAACGAAGATATTATTCCGGTGATGAAATATATAATTTAAAATGAATGTATCACCAAGTTCACCCCAGCATTGCAGTAGTCCTTATAATTATTGCCATAAATCTGTAACAGTTTCGTCTGTAAAAAGGAGATTGTTTAAGTTACAAATCATTATGACATCAAAAAATTCGATGACATAAGAGCGGCTCCCAATTAAAAATGATGTAACTCATTTGTCAAATTATAATGCTTAAATTAGGAATTCAACCCTCAGGTAAAGTGGTCAACGTCATTTTCAAATCCCTGGTACCTATATCCTTTAAGTCACTTTTTATCTACCTCAGTATTTTCATTATTAAACGTTTTTGTTGAATATATCTCAAAATAACGTTTTGTACTATGATGGGTGGCAGCACTGGCTGCAAAGTTCATTTCTTTAACTCATTGTGTTCTGTCTTTTAATAAAGAGTTATGAGTTATTTGTTTGCTGATGTTTGAATGTAACAGTTGTGTATTATTATTTCACTGCTCGCCTCCATTCCTGTCAGTCTGCGCCTAACAGTTTTAAATAATATTTTGAAACTCTGAAGGACCCCGCAAAATCCTTATGGAATTTGGGTCTCGGTAAATTTTTTGAATTTCTGATATGAGTCCATGTAATTCTCAACCAATGTTACCATTGCGCCAACCCCCTAAAATGAACATTTTTGCCGCTAGAGGTCGTTTAAATCATCCCTTCCTCAGAATAGACTATTCATTTTCGAAACCGGAAACGACATTTTCACCTGTTTCATTGTAGATATTGTTGCAAATGATTATGCCCATCTCCCCAACTATTATAAAACGCAAAAAAAATGATATATGGATTACTTTGAAATGACACATCTACAAGTAATAAAGTCGTCTATTCTGAGCAAGGGATGATTTTAACGCCCCCTATCAACAAAACTATCCATTTTTGAGGATTATCACTTAATTAATTTCAATTCTCAATGACATAAACTGCATAATAATAAAAATTCAGAAAAAATTACCGATTTTTTTTGTTTCGTACCCCTCAGGGAAAGGGGGATAATAATATGAAAAAGTGCGATTTTCTCAATTCAAGCTTATTCAAACATCCGACGATGCATTTCAAAGTAATCCAGATATAATTTTTTGCGTTTCATAACAGATGGAGGGGAAGGAAAGGTGAAGAATTTTTTTATAAAAGAGCCACCCGGTGTCTGGCATTATTTAAGGCCTCCAGCAGTAACTGAGAACAACCTGATCATTTCGTCCGTTGCCTCTTATCGCTTTATCGTCTACCGCCGCCGTAGATGAAACGCCAAACATAAAACCTGCAGACGACGGCCAACAAACCCATTGTCTAATATAATATAAATTGATTTGAAATCCCTGAAAAATCTGTAAAAAATTAGAAAGATTAACCGAAAAATAACAATTTTATTAAACAAAAAACTGAAATTATAAAGAAATAACATATATGGACTTAAATGACAAGAACAA